CCACATTAAGCCTCTATTACATATTCTTCTTTACGTACAAACCATTTCTAACTTGTAGGCTGTACCAAAACAGGCCAGTAGAATGGGGATCATAGTTTACTTATCCCTGATATGCAGTGCCTCTTGGTCTTTGGAGCACTGTACTTTCAGAGCATAATGACTATTCATTGTAATGGAATTATTCTCTGAATTTAGAAAAATTAAGTATGGACATTTTTCGTACACATTGGTACATTTTAATAAACTTGACTTTTTGTAAGTAAATCCAGTGCTGTTTTATTTTACTGAAAGGTCAAAATTTGTCACTACAAGATTAGTTTCCAAGTTACTGATTTTTAAGGATACTTAATTCTTAAATAACTTTTTAAATTAATTTTTTAAGTGCTAATTTCCAATACTTTTATAGGGTGACATTTTAAATTGTACTTTCCACAGATTTTATTCTAATTGGAAGATGTTACAATTTTTATTTTGGATTTCTTCTTTTTTCTAAATTCTTTTTTTGTTCTAGGACTGCGTATGTACTAGCTGATGTCATGGATGATCAATTGAAATCTATGTGGTTTACTCCATTTCAGGCTGAAGATATTGACGGGGACCTGGATTTGGTATAATTTTATTACTAAATATTTAGAAAAAAAAGTTGTTGTTTCTTTGTGTATTGTTAGCTCTAATATAGCTGTTAGAAGTTCATTTGGGGACCAGTACTGCATACTTTTTATGTCAGTCACCCACTTAATAGTGTCCAAAACTCAGATTTTATGCTACTTGTTTCGCTTCTTTCTGGTTAGTGATCTGTATATATGGGAATGAGACATTTTATTTTTATTTTTTTAAAATATATTCTTGAGCCGAACCGGTTTGGCTCAGTGGATAGAGCGTCGGCCTGCGGACTCGGGTCCCGGGTTCGATTCCGGTCAGGGGCATGTACCTTGGTTGTGGGCACATCCCCAGTGGGGGGCGTGCAGGAGGCAGCTGATTGATCTCTCTCATCGATGTTTCTGACTCTCTGTCCCTCTTCCTTCTTCTCTGTAAAAAATCAATAAAATATATTTTAAAAAATAAATAAATAAATAAAATATATTCTTGATTTCAGAGAGGAACGGAGAGGGAGAGAGGAGAGAAATATCAATGATGAGAGAGAATCATTGATTGGTTGCCCCTTGCATGCCCTCTACTGGGGATCGAGCCTGCAACCCAGACGTGTGCCCTTGACCTGAATGGAACCAGGGATCCTTCAGTCCCCAGGCCGACGCTCTACTAGTATCCACTGAGCCACACCGGCTAGGGCAAGAATGAGACATTTTAGGGGAAAATCACATTTTTGCATAAGTACTCTTAAGTAATTTGTTTTCTTATATTTTTAGGAATATAAGAAAATTATCTCCCCAAATTAATAATCATTCCTGTGTTTGTGTTTAAAGAGAGGAATGGTGTTGTGTTATCTGCTCTTAATTTGAGGAAATATAAGAATGTATTCTAACTACATTACTAGAATAATGTAGTACTAATGCAAATTGACATCCTTAAATATAGTGCTGAGTAGGAAATAGTATAGTTACACTAAGACTGAAAATTCAGTGTAGTCTGTTTGTGCTTCTCAGAGATATATTAGGGAGGATGATTTCAGCTACATCTTATGGTACCATTTATACTAATAAAAGGGTAATATGCTAATTAGACCGGACGTCTTCTGGACGTCCTTCCTGACAAAGCTGGGCCCCGGGCGAAGCTGCCGACGGTCCTGGGTGAAGCCGCTGTTGGTCCCAGGTGCCTGTGGCCGGCCCAGGCCGAGCCGCCGGGGGACCTGGGGTCCTGGGTATCTGTGGCCAGTTTGGGCCGAGCCGCCGGGAATCCCGGGTGCCTGTGGCTGGCCAGAGGGAGGGAAGCCCAGGTCCCAGGTGTGGGGGCCGAGGCAGAGGTGGTTAGGGGCGATCAGGCTGTCTGGGGACCAATTAGGGGCAATCAGGCTGGCAGGCAGAGGGGTTAGGGCGATCAGGCAGGCAGTCAGGCAAGCGGTTAGGAGCCAGTAGTCCCGGATTGCAAGAGGGTGCAGGCCAGGCTGAAAGACCTCCTCCCCCACCTGTGCACGAATTTTGTGCACCAGGCCTCTAGTATATTATTTTTTTTCTTGATCAAATAAATATGTATATTTGATATTTTCTGTTCTAAAAAATGCTAATACTCATGTACAATAAAATTTTTTAAATGATTTACATTTAATGTATTGAGGATTCTTTTTCCTTATTTAAAAGATCACATACAAATCAGTTTAAATCTCATTAAACAATTAATTTCTTGCCCGGCGGTGTGGGTCAGTGGTTGAGTGTCGACCCATGAACCAGGAGGTTACTGTCTAATTCCATGTTGGGGCATATGCCCGGGTTGTGGGCTCATGCATTAGGCAGCCAATCAATGATTCTCATCATTGATGCTTCTATCTCTCCCTCTTCCTTCCTCTCTGAAATCAATAAAAACATATTTATAAAAAAAGAATTAATTTTTTTTTCATTGGAAATTGGTCATTGATTCTTTAGAAGAACTGTGCTGTCCAATAGAACTTTATGTAGTGGCAGAAATGTTCCATATCCTGCCCAGTAAAGTAGCCACCAGCCTTATGTGACTGGTGAGCAATGAAATGTTGCTAATGTGATTAATGAACTGTATTTTATTTTAATTTTAATTAATTTAAAATTAAATAGGTATATGTGGTTAGTGCCTATTGGCATCACATAAAACATTTGTGTTACAAATTGTTCTTTTTCTAAACTTCACTTTGAATCACAACTGTGTTGCAGTGATGACTGTGACCTTACATGGTGTAGGGAAATTTTAAGTCTTTTAGGTTTGATAAATTTGAATAAAACCTAAGTAAACTTAATTTTCATTTCTCTGAAAGTAAACTTAGGTTGGAACCTCATTAAATGCACAGAACTTTGAGATCTGTTGCACAAAATCCTTTTATAGCAGATAGGTTGACTATATAAGGCTTGCAGAATATGTTATTTTCATATTCTTTTGGAAAAGTTCTGGGGATACTACATTGTTAATTTATATAGAGAAATCCTGAGTTTTTTGTCAGGCAGCATAGGTCTCAGATTAATAACACTTCTGTGAGGAGGAATGCCAAACCCACCCCCCCCACCAAGAAAAACCCACAATTGAATTCCTAAGATTTTTTTTTTTAACTACCAGTGATGTTGCTTTTTGAAAAGATGAGGGAAAGAGGCAGGCCTATAATTAGTCATATAATTTATAGGAAGTAAGAATTTCCATAGTCAAGTGTTACATTAATAGTTACATTTAAGGTGTATATTTCATTTTACTTAATTTTTATGACTGCAGGTAAAAGTGGACTTAATTGAACTCTCTGAGAAATGCTGTAGTGACTTTGACTTGCACTCAGAATTAGAGCGCTCATTTTTGTCAGAACCGTCATCTCCAGGGAGAACCAAGACCACCAAAGGATTCAAACTTGGGAAGCACAAGCATGAGACCTTTATAACTTCAAGGTAACATTTATTCTACTGAAGATTTTGATTGTGGTCACATACGTTTATTTATTTTAATGTATTTTAAGCTAGACACATGGCTATTAAAGGATAAAGGAAGCCTTGGCTGATGTGGCTCGGTTGGTTGGGGGTTGTTTGTGTACCAGGAGGTTGCCGGTTCAATTCCTAGTCAAGGACACATGCCCGGGTTGCGGGCTTGATCCCCAGTAGGGGTGTGCAGGAGGCAGCCAGTCAGTGTTGCACTCTCACATTGATGTTTCTCTCTCCCTTCCTCTTTCTCTAAAAATCAATAAACTATTTTTTTAAAAAGGATAAAGGAAGTTGCCATAATGCTTGAATCATGAATATTGTTTGAAAAATAATTTTTTTATTTTTTTAAATACATTTTATTGAGTTTTTACAGAGAGGAAGGGAGAGGGATAGAGAGTTAGAAACATCGATCAGCTGCCTCCTGCACACCTCCTACTGGGGATGTGCCCACAACCGAGGTACATGCCCTTGACCGGAATCGAACCCGGGACCCTTGAGTACGCAGGCTGACGCTCTATCCACTGAGCCAAACTGGTCAGGGCTGGAAAATAAATTTCTTTTGGAAATTTTTTTAAAGATAATAATTTGGCCAATACATACCCAGTACATTTGTTTATTATTCCACTTTATGAGAGTTTGGAAGGTTTGAACAAGAGTGAATTGGCTTATTTAAAATAATTGTTAGTCATACCAATAAAATGTGAGTGCTATTCTTAGCTAGTTTTATTGTATTCCATGGAAAGTACAGGTATATCTTGGGAGATATACAGGTTTGGTTCCAGACTACTACAATAAAGTAAATATCATAATAACCTGAGTTATATGAAATTTTTTGTTTCTTGGTGCATGTAAACGTTATGTTTATCCTATACTATAGTCTATTAAGTGTGCAATATCATTGTGTCTAAAATCGAATGTACATATCTTAATTAAAAAATACTCGACTGCTAAACGATACTATCATCTGAGCCTTCGGTGAGTCATTCTTTTTACTGATGTAGGATCTTGCCTTCAATTTGTAAAAAATGCAATATCTATGAAGTTCAGTAAAGTAAGGCACATTAAAGCAAGGTTTACCTGTAATGGAAATATTTGCAAAGTAACCACAAATGTAGTTTTCATATTGCAAAGATTGATTTATATTTTCATTGGAAGTATATATTTTTTTAAAATGTTTTCATGGTCTATTTTTGTTTTAATAGTGGAAAATCCGAGTACATTGAACCTGCCAAACGAGCTCATGTTGTGCCACCACCAAGAGGAAGGGGCAGGGGAGGGTTTGGACAGGGTATACGACCCCATGATATTTTCCGTCAGAGAAAACAGAACACAAGCAGACCACCGTCTATGCACGTGGATGACTTTGTTGCAGCTGAAAGTAAAGAAGTGGTCCCGCAAGATGGGATACCCCCACCAAAACGGCCACTCAAAGTATCACAGAAGATTTCTTCTCGTGGTGGATTTTCAGGCAATCGAGGAGGACGGGGAGCTTTTCACAGTCAAAATAGGTTTTTCACACCACCTGCCTCGAAAGGTAACTACTTATATATGTTTTCTTTCTCTTTTTTTTGTTTTGTTTTGTTAATCCTCACCTGAGGATATTTTTTCCATAGATTTTTAGAGAGAGTGGAAGGGGGGACAGAGAGAGAGAGAGAGAGAGAGAGAGAGAGCGAGGAACATTGATGTGAGAGTCACACATTGATTGGTTGCTTTCTGCATGTGCCCTGACTGGGACTGGGGATGGAACCTGCAACCTAGGTACTTGCCCTTGACTGGAAATCAAACCTGTGACCCTTCAAGTCGCAGGCCAACACTCTAACCACTGATCACCACCAGCCAAGGTTGTAATATTTTCTAATGGGTTAGAACAGCGATTTTCAACCAGTGTGCTGCAAGAGTGTTTAAAACATGCACTACCTGACTATTTAGTTGGGGGCGCTGACCTCTTCCCTTAGATTGTCAAATAAAAAAAATGACAACAGCCAACACAATAGTCGTCAAGTGTGAATAAAAAAAAAATTATACCTATTTTTTGGTGTGCTGCAGAATTTTAGTAATTAGTTTGTGTGTGCCATGAGATGAAAAAGGTTGAAAATTGCTGGGTTAGAATAGTGGAATATTAGAATATTAAATAGAAATTATTGAGATGGTAGTGATTCAGATAAAGTATTTTTCTGTTACTAAAATTAAGCTGCCTCTTGACTATTTGCAGTGGTACTATTTGCAGAGCATTTTATTGGAAAGGGAAAAAATCTTATTTAAATTAACCTTTGCTTAATTTAAGCACATTTAGTGATAAGTTTAATTAAGTCTGGGCTAATTATTTTCGTTTTTATATTAAGAATTATGTTTATCTTTTCTGAATAATATTTATACATTATTTTTGTAGCTGTACTTATCAACAATTTCCCGAAGATTTTTCTGTATATTCGCCATTGATTCTCTTGTGTACTTGATTCCTAATGTAATATTTAATGTTTTAAATTGTTTCAAGATTTTAGAAACTGAGTTTATTCATAGATATTATGCTTCACCAGTAGATTGAGGACATGTTTTTTTTTGCTGCTGCTGTGGAGGGTAGGAGTGGAAAAGAATAGAAGTTTACATTAATAGCAAACACAGAGCTGTGTTAGGGATGGTTATAAGCACTTGACATATAGTACTTTCACATCAACCCCATGAGGTAGGCTTTGTTAATACAACCACTTTACAGAAGAGAAAACTGTCAGGACACATAAGTGTAAGTGGTGAAAGCAGTATGTGAACTTGGCAGTCTGGCTCCAGAGCTTCTGCTCCTAACCACGTACGGTGCTGCCACTCTACAGTATATTTCATTTACAAAAATTTCAGTTTATCTTCCATTCCTTTGGAAGGTTAAGGAAAACCTGTCAGGTCTTTCTTAATCCAACTGAAGTTGTGAAAAAAGATGTGATTGTGTTGCCTTTAGGAAACTACAGTCGTCGGGAGGGAACAAGAGGCTCCAGTTGGAGCGCTCAGAACACTCCTCGAGGAACTTACAATGAAAGTCGCGGAGGCCAGAGCAATTTCAACAGGGGCCCTCTTCCACCTTTACGACCACTTAGTTCTACAGGTAAACATTTTTCCTATTTGGTATTGCTGAGAGAGGGAAGTGAATCCTCATTTTCAAATCGTTAAATGTCATGTACTCTGATTCTGGGAGAGAATATTTTAGAATGTAAACGTGTAATTCTAAAGTCAGTTTAATTTTATATCTGAATGAGTGCCCAATGTACATTTTCTATAGAAATAATCAAAATTGCGGATTCTGAACTTCGTGTATAGTCTGAGCAGTTTCATGGTGATGTGCGCTGTTTTTATATTTTAATAATGAGAGCCAACCCTTAGGTACATTTTTGACCAAAGTATTTTAAGAACAGACATATCTTCATAAGGTGTCTTCTATTTTTAGTTACTGTATTCTATTGTGTGTATAAGCATATAACCCTTTACAGCTTTATTTGAGATGTTGTTCTCATATATGAAACAATTTACCTATTTAAAGAGGACAGTTCACACTGGTCTTTAACACATTCATAGAACTTGTATGTGGATTTTAAAGGAGCAAAGAATAATTTCTCTTTTGGTTTGAGCTCGGTGTTACAGATGAGTCTTCATATAATGGGAAAGGAAAGGGTGTTGGAACTAACAGTGTGTTCTTTCCTTTATAGGCTACCGCCCAAGTCCTCGTGACCGGGCTTCAAGAGGCCGTGGGGGACTTGGACCTTCCTGGGCAAGTGCAAATAGCGGCAGTGGAGGCTCAAGAGGAAAGTTTGTCAGTGGAGGCAGTGGTAGAGGTCGTCATGTACGGTCCTTTACACGATAAAAGTTATTTTGGGAACATCCTAAGTGTATATGAACATTTCATGACAACAACAAAAAACAATAAAATAAGACATTGAAGGACCAACTTAACCTTTTAGCAGTTATCTGGAAACTCTGAAGAATATTTTTATCTGAAGAAAGCAGATTTTGTTTGATACATAACACAAGATTTCAATAAAAATCCAAACTTTGTATGTATGTTTTATATATTTTTTTCTCTTTTTTATACAAGACTAGAAAATTTCTTAGGTAGAAAAATGAATGATGAAATTACTTTTGTCTTAGTGTATACCTTGCCTATACCACAGATGTTCCCAATATTTTCTCAGCTCATGGTGCCCTTTAGCGTTTCAGTAATTTTTTTTTTTTTTTGGCACATCTAGGACTAAAGAAATGCATAATACTTCCATTTATTAAGCAGTCAGGTCCAAACAACTTAATAAGAATTTATATCATAAGCATTAGTAACTGTGGACACTGTACAGCTTCTCACCCCTTGGAATCAGCGTGGATCGACACTGCTACTATCATTTCCTGTTCCACTATGCTTTTTTTTTTTCTTTTTTCTTTATTGCTTAATCACTATGCTTTTTGCACAGTACTTTTGATCACAAATGCTGAAAACCCAGTTTTTAAAAGATACACTGTCATGGGAAGAAATATAAAGCCACCTAATATTGAAAATATAAACTACCTCACCCTAGTAGTTGGTGTTATGTCCAATAGATGTGTTCCCCTCAAAAATATGAAACAAACACTGACCCTTCTGCTAATTTACTAGGGTGCCCTGATACATAGTTTGGGGAACCTTTTTATAACAAAAGAAACACAACGTTCTTCCGTACATTAGAAATGTGTATGTACTTTGTGTTTCAGCTTTATACTTATACCTACATTTGCTATTTTATTACAGTTATCTAAAGCCTAAAATGAGGTGTGTCCTAATAGTTATTTTGGGAGTCCAAAATATCTAATAAAATCTGGACTTTATATACAGAAATAAAGTTTATAACAGAAAATAGCCATATTTTTCCCAAGAGATAACACTGAGCCTATATAACTGACATAAAATAGAGACTTCTCGCCCAGGTGGTGTGGCTCAGTGGTTGAGTGTGGACCTATGAATCAAGAGGTCACCCATTCAATTCCTGGTAGGGGCACACCCGCAAGTTGCAAGCGTGATCCCGGGAGGTGGGGGGGGTGGGCAGTGAGGGGATGGAGGGTGTGCAGGAGGTGCAGGAGGCAGCTGCAGCCGATGGATGTTTCTCATCAATGTTTCTTCTCTCTCCCTCTCTTTCAAATCAATAAAAAATAAAGACTTAAACAACAAAGTGTGTATGAGTCTCACTTCATTCCTTTATCATCATGTTTTGCTGAACTATTTGTGAGTGAATACAATGTTTGTTAGAACGCCTTTAATAAAAGCTCAGCTCTAAAGACTGTGACGTTTAAGTGAAAAGTAAAGGAAATCTTATATCCCTAATGGCCTCAAAAAACCCAGGATAACTAAACCCCTTTCAATTCTCAAACCTAATAAGCTCATCTCTAATGATAACATTATTCACATTGGATAGAATTCAAAGTTTGTCCCTAATACCTGACCAAATACATGTAGTAATTGTTTCTTAAGTAATTACATTTGTTAATAAAATATGGCTATATGTACATTTTTTAAATGGAATGCTTCATAAATTTGTGTCATCCTTGTGTAGGGGCCATGCTAATCTTTGTATTGTTCCAGTTTTAGTATATGTGCCGCTGAAGCAAGCACTATAGGTATATTTCTTGATTTGTTTTTTAGCTTTAAGTTGAATATAATCTTTGAGAAATATCAGAGTGTTGTATATGCTATTTGTTAGTGTAACACTCAGGAATTCATGCCAGGCAAAGTAATAAATTAGTACTGTAGAAGCAAATTATACCTACATTTGCTATTTTATTACAGTTATCTAAAGCCTAAAATGAGGTGTGTCCTAATAATTATTTTGGGAATCCAAATATCTAATAAAATCTGGACTTTACATACAGAAATAAAGTTTATGACAGACACTAGGTATATCCATGCTGTTGTAGATGGCAAGATTTTATTTTTCTTATGGTCATATTCCATTTATGTGCATCATTAAAAATGTCCTGATTACCTAATAATCTTAGATAAATGGGAAGCTAAGGAATTCAGCATGTTGACTATCCCTTTCATGCATTATTACTCAGTCTTTATAACAGTCCAGCAAAGGAGGTATTATCCTAATTTTACAGATGTAGAAACCTAAGGAACTTGATTTAAAAGTGATAACAGGTTTTAAAACCATGTTGGCTAGCTTCTAATTTTTTTTAAATATATATTTTATTGATTTTTTACAGAGAGGGAAGGAGAGGGAAAGAGAGCTAGAAACATCGATGAGAGAGAAACATCGACCAGCTGCCTCCTGCACACCCTCCACTGGGGATGTGCCTGCAACCAAGGTACATGCCCTTGACCGGAATCGAACCTGGGACCCTTGAGTCCGCAGGCCGACGCTCTATCCACTGAGCCAAACCGGTCAGGGCCTAATTTTTTTTTAAAGTAACTTGTTTTTCAATTACAGTTGCTGTGCAATATTATATCAGTCTTAGGTGTATAACCCAGTGATTAGACATTTATATAACCCAAGAAGGGATCACCCCGATAAATCTTGTACCCATCTGACACCAT